GCAGCCGGCTGTGCCGCAGGCGGTGAGGCGACAGGGACCGCTTTGTCACCGCTCGATGCCAGAAGTGGTAATAGTCCCCGAAGATCTGCAACAGAGCAGGGAGCCTGGGCTGGGCTTTCCATCTGGCAGTCCCCGGGAGGCAGCGGACGGGGGTGGACAGCCGGCTGCAAGGGGAGGCGCACGACGCCAGGGGGTGGTGGGGCATCTGCTCCCTGCCCAGGCCCCGGCCAGGGGGTGCAGGGGACGGAGAGGGACGCACCCTCCCGGGCAGAGTCTGCTCCCCTGAACAACCTCTGTTGGAAGCCCAAGGGCGGGACCAGCCACGGCTCCCGTCCCCCTGTAGCCACCCAGAACACGCCTCCTACCCAGATGGCCCTGAGAAGATAAGCCCACAGTCCCGGTCCCGCTGCCCGAACCCCTGCCCTCGCTGACCCCACCCCTGGCAATGACCCGCGCCCAGGCCAGCCGGCAGTCGGCGCACCTACCTGGCCCAAGTTGAGGAAGCCATGCTTGCGCGCCAGCCTGTCAGCCACGGCCGGGCCTCCGGGAACGTGCACAGCCCACGTGTTGGTGTAGACCTTCTGGGCACGGGCGTCGGCTGCCAGCAGGACCAAGGCTCCTGCCACTACCACCCATAGCAACCAGGGCCTCAGCTCCATGGGGGGGGCCGGTGGCCGGGACCCCGGAGCCCCCGTCTCCTTGGCCTGGTCACAGGGCCTCGGCTCCCGCGTGCCTGCTCACTGCCTGTGGCCCGGGGCTGACTGGCGGGGGCATGGGGCCGAGCAGGGCAGGGCTGTGCGGGGAGGAGGGCCGCCGGCTCTGAGGGGAACAAGGGAGGAAGAAGGGTAGACAGTCAGTCCCCCCGCCCCCGCCATGTGCAAAGGCCACCCCCGTGGCCCAATCTAGGCCTGAAAAGGGCCCCCGGAGGAGACGGGTGAGAATCCAGCCCCCCCAAGGTCAGCCAGCCAGCCAGATGGACCCCCCCTACACACACACACACACACACACACACACACGCACGCACACACGCGCGCGGCTCCCAAGCCTCTCTCCACACAAGAATACGGAAGTGGGATGAAGAGTATCAGGCTTGAGTCATCCAAAATCAGAAACAACAACAGAATAAATGTTCACCGCAATCAAAGTGAAAAAGAGATGGGTTATAAAGCAGTATGTATACATGACCCCATTTTGTTTTTAAAGAACTATTTATAAGTGTGTATTTATATATAACCACAAAACAAAATCTGGAAGGACACATGCTAAAACGTTAACCAACGATTCTCTCAAGATGGTGACGATTATGAATAACTGTTATTTTCTTCTTTGTACCACTGTATATTTTCCAAATTACCGAGGTCTATTTTATAAAATGTTGGCTTTTCAAAGTTTTTTAATGGGTGGTGTCTACTCAGCTCACCAGGGGTTCCTGGTTCAGCAAAGCAGACCTAGCCACAGAGAATTACCTGCACGAAGACCCACAGCCCTCTGGGAAGAAACAGCGGGTGACCTTAGGAGGGATGGGGCTTTGGGGGCTGAGCACAGGGGATCCCAGTGGCTTCACCTCCCTCCACGGGCAGACCCCAGACCAGTGTCCGTCAGCAAAGTCAGGGGCCCAGACTCTTTTGAGGCTGTTTCCTGGGGAACACTGGGGCCACCCAGCCCTGCCCTGCGCAGGTCCTGGGCGCAGAGGCCCCTGGCAGCCCCCGTGCACTCCACGCCCACCAGCCTTGCGTAATCCGAGCCCAGGCAGCCAGGCCAAACACTGGCTGCTGAGCCAGGAGCACCAAGGTGAGGCTGAATCAATAGTCTGCGTGTTGTTTTTCCTCCTTCAGCAAACAGACAGCGGGACCTCTCTGCTCGGGGCCACATAACTGTCCCCACAGAGGGCCCCTGACTAGCCAGAAGCCAAGCCCCTGGGGTGGGGAGAAGCTGGGGGAGGCCCCAGTGGGGCTGTTGGAGGTATCCTGCCTCAGTGCCAAGCTCACTGAGCAGAGGGCCTGCCCACAGGGCCCCGGATGCCCCCACCACTCCCAGCCCCAAAGGAGGCCACTCTGCCAGATGGCTGAAATGAAGCTCCCCAGCTCACCCAGGCCGTGGGGAGCTGGGCAGGCGGGCTCGCCACTGGGAAACCTTGCCCCTCCAGGGGCTACCCTCAGCCATAACCAGCCTTGCTGGCCGCTCCTACTGCAGTCCCACCCTGCAGCCTGGGAGGGACTCAACACACAATTCCCAGGGTATTTTCAGTTTACACCAAAATAACCTGACAGCTGATGGCAGGAGGCATCCACAATACGGCTCCTCCTCACCCTGGATGGGGCAGAGTCCACGGGGCTCCAGGACAGGCCCATGATGCCTTGGGCATCCAAGTTCCAGAAAGCCAGTCTTAGCAATGGCTGGGTGGCCAAACATAGGCCCTAGGGTGTGAAGAGACCCCATGCCCCTCATTTAACAGAGGATGCGGGGCCCTGAGGGCAGAGCCACGTAGGAACAAGGCCTCTTCTGCTCTTCTGCCCACTGCAATAGCCCCTTCTTGGGTCCAGATGGCAAGTAAAGCTGCCCCGGACCACAATGCTGTGAGCCCCGCCAAAGCCCCCAAATCAAGATGGGCTCATCTGGGTCTAGCCTGGGTTCCAGCACATTGTGAATGGAGCTGCAGCTGCTTTGCCTTAAAGGTGATTAACCAACTAGTTAATTACCCTGCAGCACCCAAAAAGCAAGCAGGCTTCCGGCACAACCCAACTATCCCCCAAGAAAGGGCCTGCCTCCCTCTGCCCAGCATCCCTAGCCATGGTGAGCTGTGGATATGGCTTCCACAGAGCCCAGAAGACCCCCCCCCCTCCAGCCCCACCTCAGCATCCTGGAGGGAGGGAAGATTTCCCACCTCCCTCCCTCCCAAAAGAGCAGGCTCTGAGAACAATGAATGAATGGGCTTCTCCCCACCCCCATCCCAGACTCTGACTCACCCTCTGAGTCCCAGTTCAGCTTAAACACCCCCCCCCCAACCAGGCTGGCTGTATTTCTAGCCTCCTGCGATGCCCCCTCACATGGGACTGAGCTCTGGGCTGTGGCCACAGAGAGCGCTGGGAGTGCTCTTCCTGGCTGTGTTCTTAGGCAAAGCCCTTTCTCCAGAGGTCCCAGGAACCTCGGACACCGCTCTGAGGCATCAAACTGAACCGACCCCCAGGTCCGGACGCTGTTTCCCACGCACTGAGGGTCTGGTGTGTACAGGATCCAGTCCCTCTTTCTAGCAGAGACACCAAGCCAGGTCCTGTTACAGGAACTGAAAGGCTCCCCTGAAATTCTGATTTCGTGTCTGCTCCACTACTTATTTGCTGTGTGATCGCAAACAGGTTACTTCCTCTCTCTGGGCCTCAGTTTCCTCGGTGGTAAAAACTGCTAGATATGAGATTTTCAAACTTTTTTTTTAAAGCCACATAATCCTTTAAAAAAAAAAAAAATCAAATCTCACGTGAAAGCCCCATATAGGAAACAGTAAAATTTGGGTTGCTCTGGTTGAGACGCGGCAAGCTTGGCTAGTCTCCTGCGCTCCCTCCACACCTGGCCAGCAGCTGCCCAGCCCTCACTAGGCCACATCACCCGGGTTCCCCTCACGCTTCCCAAGTCAAAAATAGAATTCCAACACCCTCTCGCGGCAGAGGGTCTGCGCCCCCTCCCCGGGGCACCCGGAGAGCAGGTACAGACCAGACAAGTGACTGCTGTCAGACCTGTCTAGCGAGCAGGCAGCCCCGCAGCACAGCCACCCCACGGGGGCAGCAGGGGCCTGCGCCAGGCCTCGGCGGGAGGCAGCCCCAGCACCTACCTGAGCCAGCCTCCCGGAGCCCGCAGAGCCCGCACCTGCGTCTCCGTCGCCCAGGTGTGCGGACGGGGGCGAGGCCGGGCCGGGGAATAATCCCCTCCGCCCGGCGACCAGCCGTTCCTCCCCTCCCCGGCCGCGGAGTGGGTGAGCCGGCGGCGGCCCCCGGCGGCCGGCGGGGAGGCGGGAGCACCCGGCGCCTCTGGAATTCTCTCCCCATCCCGCCCCCAGCGGGGGCCCCCGCGGACGCTTCCTGAGGTCAGAGGGCTCGCCCCGGCCCCAAGCGGAAAAGTACCCGCACGGGCAGGGGGCCGGGGGCCGGGGGCCGAGCCGGGCCCGGCGCGCTCAGGTGGGCTGCAGGGCGCCCTTCCTGC